TATAGCGAAAGCAAGTGCTTCGACAACATCATTACAGGTGGCTTTGGATTACGCTTGTGGGTACGGAGGAGCTGATTGTGGTCAGATCCAACAAGGTGCAAGCTGTTACGAGCCTAACACCATTCGTGATCATGCTTCCTTTGCATTCAATAGTTATTACCAGAAGCATCCTGGTCCAGACAGCTGCAATTTCGGAGGGGCAGCGCAACTTACCAGCACAGATCCAAGTAAGACATTTTTCACTTGTTATGTAGAGGTCTAGAAATATTTGATCATAAGAGTTGGGAAAGTTAAAGTTACCTGCATAATAGCATCCATATTTCCTTATGTTGTTTGCTTCCTTCATAAACGGTGTGAGCTACTTGACACCTCCACAACTGATAGATGTTTCGAGTGTCTAGAATAAGTTTATGAACCTAAGATTGCTATCCCACCATATGATTCCAATGTGTCAAAGAGCTTGATAACGACTAGAGTTATCACCTTTTTACGCGAAAGATAGATCTGACACTGGTATTCAAACCTGCTCTTGTATTGCTCCAGGTAAAGGAAACTGTCACTTCTCAGCATCATCAGGAACAGTCAGGTATGTTGCTCTTTCCACTGTATTAACCTCTACCTGCCAAAAAAAAAGTGAGAAAAATAATGGTGATTTACTTTTGCCAAATGCAGCACAAGCCCGCCAAGTCAACCGAGTCCACCAGATTATTCTTCCCCACCTTCTACAACATACCCACCCCCAATAACAACTCCAACTACAGGCATACCTGGTTCTCCACCCTATGGTGTGGCAGAGCCAACAGGGCTTCCGAATTCAGCAACCCATGTGTCACATAGCGTCCTCTCAATATTTACAGCAGTTGGGATACTAATGCCACTGCTCAGGGACAATTATCTTTAAGCGGACAAATGTTTCAGGGTTTCAATCATTCTCTGCAAATTATGAGACGTGTTTTCTACATACACATCACGATATATGGAGTTCAAGAAAGCAACCATGATCAGCAAGAAGATTTTAATCCAAGACCTTACTCTCAACATATGTTCTCTTGCTATAGTTCAAGTATATTTATTTAGTAGGAGATACTACAAAATGAAAGGGATTAGGAAATATACATTCTTGTAGACACATTAAGCACCATGTTATCTTTCCACAGTTTTAGAGAATAAAATACTTAGGGAACGGTTAAAAATACAAAAGCAATGTTAAGACAGTGGAGAAACGAGCTACATACCTGCAGCATTCGAAAACAGGTAGGTACACTGACAATGGAGAGCAAGCTCCACGGTACCTGGCACATTTCAAAGCATCACAACATCCTTAAATATGCTCTTCCGGATTCATGAATTTCTAAGTAAACATTTTCAACCACAAACCAGTTCCACGTGGACTCATATTCGACTAGAAAGATCAATATGTTACCAGGACATATTTACTAAATACAAACATTTTCATAAAGAGTGGATAAACGCAAGCACATTTATTTGAGTATTGACATCGAGCAAATAGCTACACCACATTATTTCTTGTCTCTTCATACACATTGTTATAGTGATTTACAGATGAAACATCCTTTTGTCACGGGCATGGTTATATCAAGAACAGGAATGATACAATTGTTACACCAATTATGCCTAAAGTGGCAACAACTGAACCCTGATCAAATGCTTTCTGCAAGCTGCCGGCTCGTGAGAAATGCTGGAAAGCCAGAAAACAAGCGATTGCCAAAGAAATGATAGCCCCTTCTTGCTTTCCCCTGCAAATGGAATAGAGACAATGAGTCTCGACTAAAGAAAGAAAAACCCTGATCTTAAACATTACACTCTTTAAAACTCTAACCTTATGCTCATAACTTGATATGGCGATATAATCACCAAGAGTAATGCAATGAATGGCAGTTCAAGTTCACCTAAAAAAAAAAGCAATACATGCATGAATCTTGTTAGTACGGCTCAATGGAAATTTTAGCCTCTGACAAAACAAAGTTGTTGATATTAGCATGATTTCCAATTGCCATATAAAGAATTGTCTTTCACCTTTGATTTCTTTTCCAGTAAAAGCCAGTTGAATAAAAAAAAAAAACTACTTGAAGATGAAATACAAACCTGGAAATGCGAAGAACAGTCGAACAAGAAGCGCCAGGAATGCAGCCCAGACGCCATATTCACCTCTGCAAATTAGATGCATATAAAGTTCTCTGATCCAGAATAACGAAAAAAGAGAGCCTACATAACAGAAGCCACAAGCTATAAAATGCTTACTTTGCCCAGGAGATAATGTCCGATGGTGCGGTTAGAGCGAATAGTGGAACAACAAAGGACTTATGAATACCAGTACCTCTTGCAAGCATCAATGCACTAGAAAGAAACACCATTCAAACACACAAACATTGTTACACATTATTCAAAGGCAATCAAACGAACAAGATACAAGCTGAAAAAATCATGAATCATGTAGCAAAAAAATTTGTATAAAATTCCTCGAATCCACATTACTACTATTCCCTTATTCTGAAATCATTAGCCACTACTATTCACAGATTAGTATCGAATGGTAAAAATTTCACAGCCAAATTTAGAGAAAGAGAGATGTTACACGCAAGAAATCGCCGAGATCCATTGTAGATTATGAACAGACATCGGAGCAGCATAACAGACCACACTCGATCCTCTCTTTCGTCGCTTCTCAACTCTGGCCGACGTCGTAGCGGTTCTCTGACGATCAGCCGATAACCTAACCAACGAATTACACAAATCGACTCGAATTTAAACCCAAATCCAAATCCAAATCCAATGTATGAGAAATTGGAATTCGCATCTGTCTCTACCTTAGGGGATTGAAGAAGGAAACAACACTCGTACGATCAGAGGAACGAGGCCGGAGTTGAAGAGAGAGAAAGGGTTTCTGGTGGTGAAGAGAGAGAATCCGGGAAGAAGAGAGACAGAGACTCGCCATGTAGTATAGTAATTGTTTAGAGAGAGACGGTGGTGGTAGTGGAAGATTGACGGAGTGAGTGATCTTTCCGTTAAATTGTTATAAAACTTTTGCAGATCGTTAAATGATCGCCACGTGGACGGTGTAGGTTTTACGCGGGAAAGTGAGGGTCCGAGTTACACGTGATTGGAGAAAACGACGGGGAGTTTCATAATCCATTAATAGAATTATTATTGAATCTCCACCGTTGGTATCATCAACTCGGATGCAAATCTACCGACATAAGATTCCATTTCAACGATCTAAAATAAAATTAGTGAAACCGAGTTGATGATTATCGTGTGAGAAAAATCATTTTGTTCGGACCCACTTTCTTGCAAAAGAGGTTTTGAGCACAAGAAGCTGTCCTTTTTTCATGTAAATTAGTCAAAAACGGTATGATTTTTCTTTCTGAAAGATGTGTATAAGAGCTGTGTTCTGGTGTGGTTTTAGTGGCTAGATCTGGTCGAATGTTCTGCGGAGAATTGGGTTTTTCGCCTTTCATTTTCCAATCGTGGACAGCTTTGCTTTGCTGGCTTGGGTTAAATTGCGATCTATTGGCGTGTTACGGAAGTTGGTGGTTCACACAACATTGTATTACAACGCAATAACAACTCTCTGGCTACAACAACTACTCAAATTCTCAGGGATATTGACAGGCAGATCCGCAACACAATGCATCGGAGGCATTTTGAAAACTTAATGCTCTTGTGGCTCGAGTGAGTGTTGATTCATTTCCGTACATATAAGCCTTTGCTACCATGTTTT